GCTCCTACGATGCCCCCTTTTCCTATGCCCAACTGGCCCCTCAGGGTGGCTGCTCCTTGAAAGATTCCTATTCCAGCCTCTGACCCTGGGTTTGGCAGTTTTAGAAACTCAATTTTGCCTGCATGATCCATGCCTGATGAGAAAACGCGCACTCTCTCTAAAGAAGGGTCTGTCTCACGAGTCACCAGCATCTCTCCCATCACCCGGGAGACTAAACACAGATCAGATTGCTTCTTCATGAGCAAAGAAATGTTTGAAGAACAAGAATAAAGGAAAGTGAGTGTTCTCAAGAGGCATTTATATCAAGCTAAGAGCGGTTTGTCTTTCTGCAGGGTAGCAACTTCCCTTTGGGAACAAATATTTTCAGCTCCTGAAGTAAAGAAGTACAATGAAGTATAGTTGAACAATTCAGAAGACAAGCAGACAAATTCTCATCATCCAAACTTCCAACTTCCTTTTTAATGTTCTTTATCAATCCTGTTTTCTATCATGTAAACCTCATCTCTCATTGATTCAAGTAAAACTTTTCCAGATGATTCCTTATGGTCTTTGTTTATATTTCACGGCAGTTACTTCATGATCCTTGAATCTCACAGACATGCTACCTTCATGTTGAGTGGACATAGTTACTCCCATTTACACTTTATGTTCTTGATTGGGTCAGATTAAGAAACTGGCATGAACTGCCTCTCACCCAAAGTTGAAAAATATTTTGTCCTTTTTTTTTTTTTTTAATTTTTGAGGCATTTACCCACTAATTAACATGAGGAACAAACTTTTCTTTACTGGGTTTTTGCCTTTAAAAGAGCAGATATTTGGTATAGCCTGCTCCGCATGGGGCATGGTGGAAGGATCCAGGGAGGCAGCATAAACCCATACAGAGGGGTTGTCAATGGGGTGCCACTAGCAGGATGTGCCCTAGGACTTCAGAGAGATAGAGATAGAGAGAGGGAGAGACATCACTGTGAAAACAAGAGCGGGGGAGGAGCAGGAGTTTAGGATTAAAGCAAGGCGGGGGGGGGGGGGGGGTCAAAAGGACTGGAAACACCATCTTAACTAACTCCTTCACTCATTAAGCAAGAAAAAAAGGATTCGAAGTATTACTAATTTGGGGTCACACTGTCATTAAACTTAATTTGTTGGCTTTCTAAAAAACACAAAGAGAGAGGAAGATAGACAGAAACAGAAACAGAGAAACAGCAAGAAATAGAGAGACAGAAGCAGGGAGACAAAGACAGAGAAAGGGGGAGAAAGAGACAGAGAATCACAATGAGACAGAGAGACAGAGAGAGGGAGAGATCTGCACTCACTGTGACTCTCACTGAATTAATCAGCTCTCCCTTACCTGGAACAAGAACACTATTTCTGCCTATACAGAAAGGGCTTTATGAATATGATAATATTGCATTCCATTTTCAAATAACCTTTTTAAAAAGATTCAATCTATTTAAACTAAAACAAACAAACAGAAAACAAAAAAAACCAGTCTACCCACTTCTCCTACCCCCATCTCCCACCTCTGGTAACCACAGATCTGTTCTCTATATCTATGAGCTTAGTTGTTCTTTTATTTGTTTTAGATTCTGTGTTTAAGAGAGGTCGTATGGTAATTTGTCTTTCTGTCTGACTTATTTCACCGAGCGTAATGCCTTTGAGGTCTATGTTGTTGCAAATGGCAAGATTTCATTCTTTTTTTTTTAATGGCTGAATAATATTCCATTTAAACGTATATATGTGGTGACATTTTCTTTATCCATTTATCCACTGATGGACACTTAGGTTACATCCATAACTTGGCTATTATAAATAAGCCTGGTGGTGGGTATTAAGAAGGGCATATATTGCATGGAGCACTGGGTGTGGTGCATAAACAATGAATTCTGGAACACTGAAAAGGAATTTAAAAAATAAATAAAAATTTAAAAAAATAATGATGCAGTAAACATGGGTGTATATACCTTCTTGAAATAGTGTTTTTGTTTTCTTTGTGTAGACACCTAGAAATTGAATTGCTGAATGATACGGTCGTTCCTTATATAATTGTTAGAGGAGCCTCCATTCTGTTTTCCATAATGGCTGCACTAATTTACATTCCACCAACAGTGCATGAGGGTTCTTTCCCTTTGTCCACATCTTGCCAACACTTGTTATTTCTAGTCTCTTTCAAATAACATTTCATTGGGGTTGATACACCCAGGAAAGCCCAGAAGCCACAAATATGTAGCCAGATGGATTTTTACAAAGTGAACCTATCTACGTAACCCACTTCTTGTACCAAGTGATCAAAATATCACCAACACAGCATAAACCATCTTAACCCCCCTTCCCAGACACTACATCACCACCTCCCCAAAGGTAATAACTGTTATCCTGACCTCTCATGGCCTGAATTCATGTTGCCCATTTTTTAACTTTATGTAGATGAAATCATACGGTATCTTTTAACCCAGACTTCCTTCGTTCTGTGCTATGATTACAAGATTTGCTCATGCTGGTGCACTAGTGTGTGAATTTTCATCTCTGTTTCCTGCCTGTTGATTGACATGTCACAGTTTAATGATGCATTTTCCAGTTGATGGATGCTTGAGCCACCTCCAGCGTGAGGTGATTACAAACAGTGCCGAAACGAATATGTTATACCCATCTCTTCGTGCATATGTGTACATCTTTCTGTGGGTTGTGTGTTCCTGGAATGCCTGGACCATGCGATAGGCATATACTCAGCTTCAGTAGACATTGCCAAGCAGTTTCCCAAAGTAGTGCTAATTTGCATGAGAATTCCACTTTCTGCACAACCTCCCCAGAATGTACATAATGGACTCACTATGTCCAGGGAGTCACAAAATAGATGGAGGAATTTTTGGAATTTTCTTTTTTAGCTAAGAAATAAAAGGAAGAATTTAAGTGTAGAACCATGGAAGAGGTCTCCATTCTGTCCAAATGAAATTGCAAGGAATAGAGAGGCTAATTTTCAAATTCTCAAATTCTCAAAATGTAAGTAAATAGAGAGAGGCTTGGAAAAACAAATACACATACAATAGTTTGTTTTTTAATTCTTTGAAGTTCTTTGGCACTCTGTGGTACATGCAGAAGGCCACGATAACCTCAAGAACCTATGTATAAACAGTTCCAGTTGATTTCTTGTTTGGTTTCTTGAGTGAGGTTTTACTAGGTTCCCAGGAAAAGTAGAAGCTGGGTAATAACATCTAGCAACTAGAATTTTCTGCACCTTGCTGTGTTTCACCCAGAAGCCTTTTTAAGTTCTGAAGGTTTTAAGTCTTTTTAAGTGCCCTTGGCAGGTCAAGTCACAAGACATGAAAGTTCTCAAGCAACAGCTTTCTTGTCTTTTGCCTAGAGACAAACTTTCTTAGTGGGATTAAAATTAATCCACATTTCTGCAGCCCTCCCAGATTTACGTAACACCTAAACTTATTTACTTAATCTGGCCGTCAGAATCAGTTTCTTTGGCCTGACCAAAAGCTTTCTCCTCTAGCTAAAAGTGCATGAACCAATTAGTAAACAGGGAGTTGGTTTTCTTTCACTGTGAAGGGGACACGGCTTAAAGCAAGTCACATTTGAAGAAAAAAAAATAAACCACTCTGTAGAATTATAAGGGCAGATTCAAACAGTGACATTGCTCATTCTTGAAGGTATTTTGTGTAGGGGGGAATAATTTGTGTCATTTAGTAAAAAGTAAAGTAGCCAGTCTTATTTAGAGCAATGGAAGAATTACAATCATCTGTCTAAAAATCATATTTGCAATTCCTTGACAAATAAAACATCAACAAATCAATAAAAAATCAAATAACTAAAAAGATTTCATGGACTGTAAGTGACACACATGATACAGGTAGTTTTAGCTTTTGTCTCAAGACTTGTGTCCTCAGTCAACAACAAGAATAAGAGACCAACAGATAATAGTTATCTTTATATTTTGAGTTTATGAAGGAATTAAAGTTTCTTTTATACACACATTTATGTTTTTCAAATGACCTCTGATGAATATCCATTACTTTATGATCAGACAACAAATAAAATTTATTTTTAAAATAAAATAATTCCCCAAATTTCACATAGTTATAAGATAGTAAGGAAATACAACAAAATGTTCATTGTCTTGGATTGGGGAGTTATGAGCAGTCATTTTTTTTTTTTTTGTTCTTGCCTTTCTCTAATATCTAGATGTGTGTGTGTATGTGTGTGTGCATACAAGTAAATGTGTAACTTTTATCCTAGGAAAAATAACAAATAGTATTTTTCAAAATCATCTTATAGATTATGACCCCCATTTTTAGCCTTTGTAGATGATGGCCAGAATTCTCCAGACACAGCTTAGTGGATCCAAATGAGCCCACCTGGGTTCTGATTTTGGCTCGACCACTCTTGCTGTGTGATACTGGGTAAGTTACTTATCCTCCCCGAACCTCGATGCTCTCATCTGTAAAGTATGAATAACAACACCCATATTATGGGATTGTTATAACAGTGTAACAAGGTGATTTATGTAAAATACCATGGTACAAATGCTCTACAAATGGTAGTTGAGCATTCAAAGTGCAGCATTCTCTTCTTAAGGTTTTCTGGGGATCAAAGTACTTTAAAGATCTTGTCTACTCAATTCTCCTAAGAAGTCTGCAGAATGTGATAAGACTACCTCCCCTTTTACTAATTTTAAAACAAACACTTGGAGGACAGAATTTTTGAAATTTTGAAATTTTGAAATAATGTATGACATCTGTCATCTATTTAGAAAAATAAGCATATCTTCTAATCTGAGATACTATGTGTCTTTGATTTTTTCAAGAAAAATTATTATTGGAATATAGTGGACATACAATGAATGCCACCTCAGCTTGGGGTGCACAGCATAATGATTCTATACACTTAGCTTTGGTTCTGAGCATATCTCCATCAAGTTCAAATAGGAGGTGTGAAAACATCATTTTTCATCATTTTAAATGTTGCATAAATGTACAAATAAAGAGAAGCTACTGATATGATTACTTAGAGATCACAGGTTTTTCTTTAATCGTCAGAGTACATTTATTCAAATACTGAACAATCTGTGTGTGTATGTGAGTTCGTGTGTTTCATGTGTAAAACAGAGACAAAACCTCCACTCTCCAAAGATATGTTAAATCCCAAATGCAGTGCTTTACTTCTTTTATTTGCTGACTCTGTCGAGTAACAAGCAGAAAAAGAAAAAGAAGAAGAAAATGTCAGCTTTGGATCTACTTACAACTTATGAGCCAATATAAGTGTAAAAAAATAACCAGTCTTGAGGGTTGCCATTTGGGGTTAAAACCAAACATTTCAGGGGTGAGATGGCTGGGCTGGGGGATGATGTGTGACGGTGCAACATAGCACTTTGAACTGACTCACACAACAGCTAAATATGGTCAATTTAATCTCATTAGGCCACTGTTCTGACCAGTGAGAAAAAAAAAATTACTTAAATTTCTGTTTCATAAAATTTATACTTGAAAGTGAACAGTTGAGACTCTGATGTAGGGAGGACAGTTATGCACAAAGAAGAAAGTAATGATTTTCGGTGTTTCCTGTGCTATCAGTGTATGACTTCCTTGACAGTATTTGAATTTTTTATTCTAGTGAATATATTTAAATAGAATGAGTACTAGGAGAAAATTATATCACATTCCCCATCACTGACAATCAGAACTTTCTTTTAATTGGCATTTATTTTCAGAATTTTAAAGCTGGAATAAACCTGACTATCTCATTTAGTACAACATAAATTGTATGTGTGTGTGTGTGTTAATATCAAAATAAAACCATCAGTGGTGTGTATTTGAGGGTGTGGATGAAGAAGAGAGTAGTGAAGGGCAGGTGTGGTATTTGCTTCTAAAAAAAAAAAAAGGATTGAGAGAATAAAGTGGTTTAATCTAAAGTAATGTGCCTTCACTGATAGATTTTTAAAATCCTAGGCAACTGCATTATGACAAATTATAGAATTGTAATAACCAAATTCATAAATATGACAGGGTTCATCTTGATTTCTTCCTCTGGGATTCACAGATTAATTCTCAGATTTATTGGTCCACCCTGTGGAGAATTTCTCATCAAATGTTCAGGCTTTTGGACTTTCAGGTTGCTTTGCTTTTCAGTGGTAGAGAATCACTAAAAAGGGGGTCTCTGTAGAGCATTCTATCTAATCAATAACTCTTTAGTTTCAGACAAAATTTTATATGCATTTGGGCCGTCCTCATTATGCTGATATCCTTGGACTCACCAAATCCAGAATTGTATCTGTGGATCCTTAGAAATACTGTACCTTTCCTTCCTCCCTGATTCTGCCCTTAGACCTCACAAACACACCAGAAGTTTATTGTGTTAACTTGTATCTCTGCTATAACAACATTGAAAATGTTACTATTTGCTACATGATTCAGATACTTATGTTGCAATTAGAGTCTCTGTTATCAGTGATGACTTTAAAAAAAAAAATCAGTGCTATAGTATTTCAGAAGCCACAACTAAAACAAGACAGTAATATAGAGTTTTTATAACTCCCCTACCTTAAAAACAAAAACAAAAACAAAAACAAAAACGGTTTGGGGGTGGTGAAGAAGAAATACTATCATGCTCAATTTCATTCTTCTGTAATGTAAGAATAGTTGATGTTCAAGAAAAAAATGACCTCTAAATGTTCTACAACATTAAAGATTGAATTCTTGCTTTATTTTCTATGGCTGCCTTGTTAAGTGGGCATTTTGATACATTATAATTTATAAATTGGCCATGTATACATATGTTAATTCCTTTTAAAATACCATGTTAACTAGGACATCTGTAACCATACACATTTCCTTTACTGTTTCAAGAATCAGACTATAGTTTCAGCTCTTGTTTCTGTGTATATAATGATAAAAGTCATACATTTGGGGCTCAAAAGACTAGGAGTCAAACATACACCATTACTTACCGGCTCAGTGAGCCTGGCAAGTCACCTGATTGATCCCTAAGGCTCAGCTCTTACATCTATAAAATGAAGAGGATATTCCCCATCTCGGGGGAGTCACTGTAACAATCAAATGAAATAAATAGTGCTGCACACCTTGCCCTGGCACATGTTATAAATGCACAATAAATATTAGTTACTATGAGGTCACTCATCATCCTTTTTGTAAATGGAGATATTATACCTACCTCCCATACCTTGTCTAAGATTTTAAAACTAGCTTAACTTTACTAAGCATACATAACAATGATGGGACTTTCAAAAACATCACATTATGAACCTTGTTCCTCTTTTAACTCAAGATAAAAATCAGTATTCATCATTCCCCCTCCTGATTTGGAAGAATTGGTATCAATCTTCTTACCAATAGAAATCAAGGTTTATTTAGTCCCTAAAGGAGAGTGAGTTTGGTTTCAATGTTTAGAGCTCTCTTCTTGCAATAACAATTTCTACCTTCTAATTATCCTTTTTCCCATTTGAATGCATAAAGTTAGACTGAATAGGAAAAAAAAAAAATCTCCCTTTCCCTTGTCCCAGCTGTGAATTTAAAATACCTGTTTTTCATCTGCATGTCTGTCACTTTCACCTATAGCTCCTAGAATAATTTTTACATTTTCTGAATAAATTTATACTAGACTCCACATGTTTCTCTGGTCTTGGTAATGGCAGATCATTGTCTTCTAATTCCATGCCGTTCTTCTGGGGATTCAGGCTGACTCCTTTAAAAACAATCTTTGCCAGGCCTTTCGGAAAGTGACAGGGGGAGAGCCAACTCCTCATGAAATTGTCCAAACTGGTTTCCCTCTGAGTGGTGACTTACTGCAGAGACAGAAGTGTCCTTGTTAAATAATCCTTTGTTCAAACTGTCTGTCACGTCCCACTTCTCCCCAAATACCATCTTCTCCGATTTGAGGCTCATAATAAGAACATCATCTCTTTAATTTCTATCCTAAATCCTTTATCGAAGATGAACCTCACAGATGCAGGACGTGGTCTCTTCTGGAGACAGAAGATAATCGTCAGCTAGGTCCAAAATAAAAGGAAGGTGATGATGTCTCAGGCTCCTTCTTGCAAATTCCCGGTTGGAGAAAGATGGATTGTCATCTCTCCAGAGATAAGATTCTTGAAGTCGTTTATTTCTTAGCTCTGGATCCAAAGCAGGGATCATGTCTGTTCCAGTTAAGGGGGACTGAAATGGCTGTACCACAGTATGAATTCAGCATCATTCCAGGAAACTTTAGGGCAGAAACTGAGGGGGAAAAGAAGTACACAACCAAAAGTTTGAGTGTGTTTAATGCAATGAGTGGAACCTCCCCACCCACATGTAGTCCCCTCCAGGAAATGCCATTTCCTCTTCCAGGAAACAAAGGTGTGGAGAGCTTCTGAGCAGCAGACGTGTTTATAAAACAATGAGACAAAGTCTAATATAAAACAGAAATACCTTGTAGCCTGGGAAAGGAGGAGACTGCTCCCCCCCTCCCAGGACACCGGGATCAAAAAGATCTATCGGTATCCCTAACACCTAGCATGTAACAAGAACAGATCTGGATTTTTTTCTTTCAGGTGGGATTCAAGACAAATAAACACCCACAACAGGCAAAAACCTCTTCCTAGACTTCTGATGAATATTGTTTTAAAAGATTCAGTCTTTAGATTAATGGGTTTCCAATTGCTATAGAATAGGAGAGGGGCATGGGTCCCCAGGGACCAGCTGTCCCAAGGAGAGCCAAGCAGAAAACAGAGGGAATGGCTGTAGAAGGGAGACAATATCCAACAGTGTTTGGGGGAATGCTTCACACGGGCCTGAGTTTGAATCCTGGTTCCAGTACTTTACTAACTGTGGGGTTTGAGGCAGGCTCTATTATTATTATTGTAAGTTTCATTATTCTTATCCCTAATATAGAGATGATAGTGATGATATAACATCTACCCCATAACTGTTACAAGGACTAAATAAACAGGGCATCAAAGTGTTCATCATATTGCTTGGTATAGAGGTCCTCAGGACATGATCATCATTATTTGGAACCTTTTTAAAGTCACTGACTATAGACTACATTAACAGGACATATCAATTTCCCTTGAACTCCTATAGGTACGGAACCCCTTATGTGAATGGTCAATGAAAATCCCAGTAGTGGGGAATGAGTGGGTTCACTATGTTCCGGGCACGGCAGCATCCGCAGCTGCCATCTCTTCTTGATGTGATGGGCTCCGTTTAAGGATGGCAGGAGAAGAACCAGGAGGAAGGAATTTTGAACTTCTCAGTGGGACTAATTCTGCCAGCTCTGTCACCTTGTGCCCAGTCATACCTACCTTTTGCCACCAAATTTCAATAGCAAGTATACAATGAGTGCCTACTATGTGCAGGGCTTTCATGATGTCATCGTGAGTGGCACATCTGAGGTTCCATCCATTCTTACACCTCCTGGCTAGAATCTTCCAAGAGATGGCAGCCTCTGTGCTGGGTGATTCTGCCTGAGGGCCAGTTCAATGCTGTTAGATGTTAACAAGTGTAGGAGAGGGGCTAGTTTTCAGGGATTATAGTTTTATCCTTAAAAGGTGTGTGTTTCTCTTGCTGAATTCATATCGATGAGGGGTAAGAGACCATACGCGGCTTCCCAACAGAGGCCTGCCGCAAAGCAGCAGCGTGAATCGCTCAAGTCACCCAAACCTTCTGGGTCTGCATTTTTTCATCTGTAGATTAAAAGTCTAGAACTAGCTGTAGGCAGAGGACCTTTTCAGCGGACACTCTACACATGCGAGATCAGAAGCCTAAGCCAAGGTTTTGCTCTTTGAAACCTTTTAAATCTTCCTCTCTCAAAAAAAGAAATCATTTCGGGGCGCCTGGGTGGCTCAGTGGGTTAAGCCGCTGCCTTCGGCTCAGGTCATGATCCCAGGGTCCTGGGATCGAGCCCCGCATCGGGCTCTCTGCTCAGCGGGGAGCCTGCTTCCCTTCCTCTCTCTGCCTGCCTCTCTGCCTACTTGTGATCTCTGCCTGTCAAATAAATAAATAAAATCTTTAAAAAAAATCATTTCGCAGACTCCTCTGGTCTTAGCACATGATAGCAGCAAATGCCTTGAACCCAGCGCATTTTAATCATGCAGTATCCTAACGGAAAGAGAATAGCTCCATAATAATATTAGTAACCAGACATGAAGTTTCTGAATGAAAAACTAACTCTAAGGAGTATAGGAAAAACCACCCCGATTATCCTCATCCTGATTACCATTAGTCTCCCCAACAAGGTGTACAAGTCTTCAAATGACAAGTGCACTGTGAGGACGTTACGCTGCAGTTTCAAGGGCTGTCAGATTTCAAGCAATGCAACTTTGCAAATTATACGTAAGACCCTCAGTGTGCAAAATCGAAAAAAAAAAAAATCCTACGTTAGGGCACAACCTAGAAAAGACCTACGCCAAACCTCCTGGCGTAGGTCCCTTGAAAACTTCAGACCAACGTTGACGAGCCCTTTCTAGAGTAAAAACAGACAAAAGCGACGAAGTTCTTTTTACCGAACGACCTTGATCCTTCCCCTTCGGAAGGATCGTTTTCGATTTTCAGTTTGGGAAGGCGCAGAGCCCCCGCGCGCCCGGCCCGCGGCTGCTGCGCGGCGCCCCTTCCGGCGACCTTCCGCCTCCCCGGGGCGGGGGCACGCGGAGGGTCGTCCCCGGGGCCGAGCTGCCGCCGCGCGGGTAGCGCGGGGGAGGAGCGCGGCCGCGGTGGGAGGGGACGCGGCGCGGGGCGCGGGCTCCTGGGCGTGCGTCCGCGGAGCCCGCTCGGGCGCTCGGGCGGCGGGGTGACGAGCGCCCCCTGGCCGGCGCGGAGCCCCGCCAGAGCCCGCGCGGCCGCCGAGCAGCAGCGCGCAGGGACCCCGGCCGCCCCGCCTGCAGGTAGGTGCCTGGGCGCGCGTCGCCGGCCGCGGGAGGGCAGGGGGGCGTCTGCGCGGGGCCGGGAGCGCGGCCCGGCGAGGGGGGGAGGCCCGTCCGGCGCCCGCTCTGAGGCGTTCCGGGGCGGGGGGCGCGGGCTGACTGCCAAGCCGCAGAGGGACTAGAGCGCAGCGAGCTTGGGGCCACTCGCTTCCTGTGGTTTCTTGCGTGCGGGGGGCGCGGGATGCTGCGGCCCCTGGCCGTGTGGACGCCCCGGGGCTGGGGGCGCCTTCTCTTCCCTCTCGGTCCCCCGCACCCCTTACCTGAACTGACTGGGGTGGGAGGGAGGGAGGGAAGAAAGTGGCAAGTTTTATGTCCTTGGCAAACATCTGGAGGAGAGGACGGTGATGCAGGTGGTGACCAGTCCACAGGAGACAGTTCGCTTGTTTTCTTGGGTTTGTGAGAGCAGCGGACGAGGCTGCCAAGACTCACTTCTAAGCAAACGCAAGTTGCTTTTCAAGGGCCTGGAGTAGGGTGAGGCGGCTCTGTGATAGACCGAGGGGAGGAAAAAGAGTCTGTCGCTCAGCCCCGTAACCTCAAGTGAACCCGTTCGTATATCAGCATTCAGGGCCACATGTTAAGAAACTAGAGGTAAATATCTTTATTTCATTTAAATTTTAAGAGCCCCAGTTATCAGTGTGAAAGGGACTGACACCAAAGGCTTGGGCACTGCCTATAGCCATGAATGAAGAGGAGCCCCAGGCTGGCCCCGCTGGAAACGGTTCTTTCCGCCTTGACCTTTGGGGTTGTCCTGCCCCAAGTGGCGCCAAGAAAACGTTTTGCGCTCATGGCACAAGCTGACGAGGTCGGGGTGGTGATGTGGGGGGAGAACTGAGAACTCACTGCTCTCCTCCGTCCGTCCGTCCCTAGCGAGGGTGCAGCCCCCTCGGGAGGCGAAGGTCCTGCCAGCGACGGGTGCGCACCCCAGAACGAGTCTGGCAGCCCCTTCACTACTTCGCCCCACGCTCCCCTTGCACCTCTGTGGAAGCGGTGACCGCCGCCACCCCTCCCTGGCAGGGACGTTCGGGCACAGGAGCCCTGCTCCTCCGCTCCTGGGTCTGCCCCACCCCAACCTTGCCAATCACCATCTTCATTTGTTTCCTAACTCGTCTTGGGTAACTGGTAAAATGGAAGGCTTACTGTGGGTGCTTAATCTCTTTAGAAAATGCTGTGTCTAGTGGGAAAGAGGGTGACGTTTACTAATTTGGTTGCAAATTACTTTTGAAGTTTATGCACAGCTGTTTGAAATCCCTCTGAGATCAGGGCCATTGTTTGAGGCAGGTGTCTGCCGCAGATAGATCTTGTTAGTGCCTTTCTTCTGCTGATTGAATGTATGTGTATTTAAAGCCTGGGCATAGGACGACCTTCTCAAACCTTCAAAGCCTCAGCTGTGAAACTCCTCCCAGTTAGTAATTAAGACTAAATTGTTTTGTTTGGTTTGGGGTTGTTGTTTTTTCTGTCTCTTAAATGGTTATCTCTGATTTTGAGAGTCACCTGTTCAGCATTACCAGTCTTTGTTTTCAACCTCCTGTGATTTTTCTTGTAAACTTTTAAAATGTAAAGTTCCAGGGAACACTCTTGTCACCACCCTCCACTCTGTCATGTTCACTTCCGCCACCGTCTTGTGCTATGGTGGCTCAGAACGACAAGTAGTGCTTGGGCAAGCTTCTTTGTCAGATCTCCTACCGGGTCCCCCTTCCCCGGACAGATACTCCCTGATCGAGTCTGCTTTGAATGCATGTGGGTCAGTTATTGGACTGTAATTTCTTTTGTTTCTGCCATTTCTCTTTCAAATATGCAGGGATATTGTCCAATTCGTTACACCTTGGTCCCTCTTATCATCTCAAAGCTCCCTTTCAACACTAACCCTCAGTTTTGCTTGTTCAGAGCAGGTACTGGAGGGCCCCTTGCATAGCGCTTTTGTCTTTGTCATTTTTATTTTATTTTCTATTTTAAGATTTTATTTATTTATTTGATGGACAGAGATCACAAGTAGACGGGGAGGGAGCGGGGAGCAGTCTCCCTACTGAGCAGAGAGCCCAATGTGATGCTCTATCCCAGGACCCTGGGATCATGACCTGAGTGGAAGGCAGAGGCTTTAACCCACTGAGCCACACAGGTGCCCCATCTTTTGTCATTTTTATAAAGGTCCCTCATTCCGTTGTACTGTATTCTCTGAAGAGATGGGAAAGACATGATTCTTCTGTATAATGAACTTGATGTTTTATCTGAAATTCTCTGTGGACTGGGTCCAGGATTTTTTGAGAGTGTGGGCTTATAGTGCAACTCTGTAACTGGCACCCAAGAGTAAAATCCGCAAATCCCCTCCTAATGCAGGATTTAATGATAGGACATTTGGCTTCCTTAAAATAGGAAGGAGAATTAGTACTTCCTGTTTTTAAGGTATTTCATGTTTTAGACTTACTGATT